TATGGCTGTTAAATGCCGATCTAATTGACACCCCGAGATGATGTGGCTGAAAAATAATATGGAGTGACATGTGGCTTTCTCCCTCTATTTCAATTTTATTCAAATTTGTCACTAAAATTCCCAATTTAGCATTCCCCCTGTTTCATTGAACCGATTGCAGAAACCATAACCCCCAAATTCTACTCATATTCTACACTACAACATACAATTTGATTGAAATCGAAACTATCACTTCCCAAATCCCCATAACAAAGTTCAAAGATATCAATTTCGAAGAAACTTACGAAAATTGAAAATTGTTGCTCCATTTGATGTTCTAGCTCCACAAATGTTTAAAATTTGTGAAATCGTAGTTGGGCAATCTTGTTGTTGCGGAATTTCATCTCAATTCGGTGCTTCGTACAAGGAATTTAGGGGTAGAGTTTCTGCATTCGGTTCAATGAAATAGGGGAAATGAGAAATTAGGTATTTTAATGATAAATTGAGAGTTTTAAAATTGAAATATAGGGAGAGAACCACATGTCCCTCCATGTCATTTTCTGGCCACATCATCTCAGTATGTCAGCCATGTGAACATTTAACGGCGAGATCGACATCACATGCGCCACACGTGACATTTCCGTCCTAGTTAACTGGTGGAGTTGACGGCAGAACATAAATTGTTAAAAAGTGGCAAGTTTGAGGACATATTTCGTGAATAAAAATGTTTGAGAACATAAATCGTTTTAGTGGTAAAGTTTAGGGAGAACATTGTGTTTGTTCTTGGCGGATATTTTTTAGTATTTGTTTTTATTTTTCGTTTATCTACCAACTTTCTAATTATGCCATGCCCTTGTGATAAAATATTTGTCATTACTGTCAACCGATAACAATTTTAATTTTTTTAGCGTTTTAGGTTTTACTTTATTGTCTTTGTTGACTGGTCAACATAATAATATTAGGCCTCGTTTGATTGTTAAAATGAGATTAGTCATGACAAGATTAAATAATCTAATAAAAACTCAATTATTTTATCGGACCAGAGACATCCAACAAAAAAAACTCCCTAAATGACAAAATATGTGGTGATAACATAATAGTTGCGGGTCGACCTGGCGAGTTATTGGGGATACCTAACATCTAAATAAATCCAATTATTAAGTTAATTATGGCTAATCTCCCCAACCGAAAGAAACATATTACACAATACTATGTGATATAGTGATCTTGTTGTATTAATAATATTTTATTAGATAGTAATATAACAATATTATTGTCTATATTACTGTGTTAAAAAATAATATAGTTAATATTAATGTCAACCACAGTTATATTATTATTTTTACTGAGGACGAATAGTTTTGAAAAAAAAAAAGTCAACATCAGAGACAGGGAGTCAACGTCAACTGACCGACTATCAATGGCGACAGCAGTCAAAATTAGATTAGGGATTATAATTAAATAATTGATGAAATTGAAGTTAAATGATGAAATTAAAATATATTAAAATGTATCTTTAAATTTTATCTGAACTTTCTTATAAAAGAAATTTTAGGGTAAACCTAGATAGGAATAATATATATATATATATATATATATATATATATATATATATATATATATATATATATATATATATATATAAAAGAAGGGTAAATTGCACTTAGCCCTCTTTTGTTACAAATTGTTGCAGATGACTTTATTGATGCTTTTAATATTAACACATAACCTAATTGTGGTTGATGGGATATGTCTTGTTAGTTTTTCTGTCAAACTTAATTTCAAAGTATTTGTTTTGCAGATACATCCTTGTGCTTTTCATTTCCGTTTCATTTTTACAAGTGACTCCTTTGAAGTTTGACGTACGCGATTAAGTTTGATAGAAAAACTAACGGAAGTTACCCCCTATAAACCAGGGGGTTATGTGTTGATATTACAAGCACAATAGGTCATATGCAAAATCTTGTAACTATAGAGGATTAAGTGCTATTTACCAAATAAGAAATATGAAAACAAATGGAGGAACAAACCCATTCAACTTCACTAAAAATAAGCCCAATTATCGATAACGGTGATCTTCGCGATATTAAAATGTATTTTATCTAAAATAATGGGAAAATTATAGTTTTCATTTCTTAAGTTCACTTAGATTTCATATTTGGTTTTCTATATTTACAAAAAATATATTTAGTCCCTCATGTTTTAATAATTTATCATTTTTGGTCATTTACAGTAATAGGGAACACGCTTGATTCCAATAGTACTAACGAAAAATTTACGAAAAAAAAACTAAAAAGGTTGATTTTCTTAACATGAGGTACCAATTTTATTTTTTGTGAATTTGGAAGAGTAAATGTGAAATCGATGCAATCTTAAAGAATGAAAACTATATTTTTCCCGTAAAATAATATAAACAACTTCGAATATACTCAAAAAATGTATTATATTGGATGAGTATAAAATTAATACCAGTTGGTAAGGATGATATATTAGTATAAAAAGTTCCGATTTTTTTTATTTTGGAAACGGAATTGAAATACATATTAGATTTTGATTTTCAATATTGTTTTAATTTCCCTTTTTTTTTCTAGAAACTGGTGATGTTTTTTGAACAAAATTGGAATTAGTACTTCACTTTCGAAAAAACAAACAGAACGCTCCAAAAGTGCTAATTTCCATCCAATTCATGCTATTTCCAACCGTAATTAAAAATGTCGTTTACACTTCCAAATAATTCAAAATATATTAAAAATTATATTTTTTCCAATCTTCTTCGTCCAATATACTTTATTGACCTTGACTAAACTTTATAGGGAGTCTTCGCTAATTTTTTTTTCTTTTTGGTAATTAGAGATTACAGAGTAATGATAATTACTAATACCCCTAGATTTTGACTGTCGATCCCAATTTAATTTTCAAAAAATATTCTGAATTCTACACCTCGAATGTATCACTTTCTCTTCTTCCACCTACAGTTTTCATTACAATCAAAACTACCAAGAAAAGTTATGATTGCAAAATATCGGCATATATCAACAACAGTTTAGTTCGTCACAACTAATTACTTGCAGTTGTGGCGAACTGGGGGAGTGGAGAGAAGGTTCAAGAGATTTTTTCTAGGCATTTATACTACTATACCTAGTTTTGGATATCTCGTCATACTAGGTATAGTGGGGGGAGTAGATGATCCGGACTAAATTGGTTGTAGAGGAAAGGCCCAAGCCCAACTAAAGGAAACATGGATTGTCATGGCTAACTTGGGCCCAAAAGGAAGGCCCAAGTAGGATTGAAGGGAAGCCCTTACCTAAAAACCATAATAGGCCGCAAAGGATAAATTGCGGAGTTTAAAAGCTACGAGATACGCTGCCGAGGTGACTCTAGGCCTGACGAGGTAAGCGTTACGTCGGGCTCTCGAGGGCCGTGCAGGGGACAATTCTGAAAAGTAAAAGAGGGGTGTCAGGCTTGAACTGACCGAAGAACAGTAAAAAAGGACCAATAAGAACTTGCCACGTGGCACAATAGACAGGATGACGGCTTTTGTATCTAGGGAATGTAAACAAGCCCAGAAGGGCCATATTGTAGTAGTATATATACTAGGTCATAAGTAGTGAAGCCACACGGTTTTTGGCTGGGCTAAAAGGGAATTCAATAAATTGGGCCACTCATATAAATTATCTTATGCACATTATCAATTAATCGGACCACTCATATTGTCTAAAAATCTCTTTTATTTAAATTATTTAGTGATCTCATAAACATACAAGGTATGAATATTCAAACTCATGGCAAAATGTAGTAATTTATTGGTTAAAACAAGAAGGGGAACCTTATATTATTATATGTGACTAAACCTGGCACATCACAATTCATTCTATTTTCACCCGTAGTTAAAACTGACATTTATACTTCCAAATAATTCAAAATATATTAAAAATTATATTTTTTCCAATCTTCTTCATCCAATATACTTTATTGACCTTGATAAATAGGGAGTCTTCGCTATTTTTTTCTTTTTTTGGTAATTAGAGATTACAGAGTAATGATAATTACTAATACCCCTACATTTTGACTGTCGATCCCAATTTAATTTTCAAAAAATATTTTCAATTCTACACATCGGATGGAATATTCGGAGCAGCTGAGCATTAGTTACGTCAATTCTTATCACTTTATATTCTTCCACCTACAGTTTTCATTACAATCAAAACTACCAAGAACAATAAATAAATATATTTATGACAAATTGTTCTTACAGAAATCAGTTCGAACACATCGCAATATATCAAACACTAAATAACCAAGAACAATAAATATAAGCACGCACGTGTTGGTACAAATGAAACGTATTTTTCAGAGCACACTGTTTTTCGTGGGACAAAATATACGATAGTTTTATTTTATTATTTATCGTTTAATGTCTAAATGCTATTTTATTTATCTTGATTTGTTAGATATTTATTATTTATATATATATACCTAAATTTTTTTTCGGCGCGCTACCCCGAACCCCGAAAATTTATTCAGCCCCCCCTACATTTTAATCATGGGTCCGCCCGTGGCTGATGCACCACAATCTGAAATATACAAGCCAAAACACACATCTTATGATAATCTTGCTTCATAATGGGGAGCTTGAATGTGATAAAACGGGTACAAAAGTGATAATATTCATACAATCTATAAGATTCCACTAATTGAAGCTGCAAGAGTGAACGTGTAAGAAGATTTATAGTTGAGGGGAGTGGTTATAATTATCTAAATAGAAGGGATTTTTCGTAATTTGACCATACCTCAAGGCGGGTTGTAATTTACGCGAGTATATATAAAAAACGAACTCAAAAAATTAGAACTGTATAGTTAATTCGTGCACAGCACAAAACACATAAAACAACAAGATCAATGTACAATCAACAAAGTACAATCAACAATTCCAATTCATATTAAAAAAAACGAAAAAAAAAAATAAATCCTACCTAATGCTGTGAAGCAGCCTAGTCGAGCGGAATATCCCCTCTCTTCACCTTCAGAGTTCAGACCAGTTCCATCAACCTCCACGTCAGCACCAATCCTCACATCCTTCTTCTTGGAATACTTCCCAAACTGTCTCTTAAACTTTGGCCGCGCCGCCAGGTCAACCCTAAAAACCACCGTGGACCCATTCAAAACCGCCTTCAAAGCGTTCTCCCACGGCACTCCGCGGCTCTCCACCACCTCCCGCCGGTAGTCCGTCTCCAACCACTCCTGGTCAAAGCTCGGAACTACGTAGCTCGCAATGGTGCCGTTTCGGTCGTACGAGATGGTGATGTTAACATCTCCATAGCGTATACTGTGCTCGAACTCGATGTTATGGAAGGAGAGATCGAAAAAGAGAGAAGGGTTAATCACGGTATTATTTTTATTACTATTATTATTATACGGAATCTTGTCCCGGGACGACAGATCGAGGGCGGGGACATAGAATTCTTTGATGCAGCAGAGTGGGCCTGCGTAGTAGTTATTGTCGACGGTTAGGCAGATGGTTATAACAATGCAAGCGCTGATTGGAGCGTAAATACAGTAGCATAAGCAGCAACATTCGCTTAACTTCATTGTTGAATTGCTATAAAGAGAAATCCGTTGAGAAGAAGCTATATATATGTGTATATATATGTATGTATATATATATCTAGAGTATAGTTTTATCTTTGTAAATGGGAATAGACTTTGTATACCTAGAGAACAAGTATAATGGTACATTGGTTGAAACCGTCCCGTACATGTATTGACTTTGTGTTATTTGGGGAAAAGGGAAGTGAGTTGAAATGTAGGTGTGATCAGTGATCAGTGGCGAAACTAGGATTTTACTATTGGAGAGCCATATATACTTTAGAAAATTTGACTTAAATATTTAAGTAAATTAAATTTATTTTCTCAAAATTATTTGTTGGTGAATGAGAAATTAATTTTGTGGAAAATAATAAGTGAAAAATCACCACCACATGGAGGTGTTTCATTTATATAAAAAGTTACGGAATTTTTTCATTGAATTATTTTCCTAGGATGTGATTGTTGGCCAATGGCCATAACCATTGAGAATCTAAAAATATATCCTACAATTCACTATTTGAATTAACTTTTTTCTATATTTTTTATTCAATTCCATAATTTTGCATTGGAGTTCTGTGTTTTACGCAACTCAAATATGTATGGGATGAACTCAGTTCCATTATTCATATCAATTCATATATTTATGGTAATGCTTAAAGTATTATTGACCAACAAAATCAAGATCGATCCATGAAATTTTTTCAAGGACTACGTGATCATTTTTCCGCTATTCGCAGTCAAATTCTCTTGACGGAACCATTTCCTTCCATTCAATGTATCTATAATTTAATTCGTCAAGAAGAAAAGCAACAAGAGATTAATATTCTCACAACTTCTACTGTTGATGCCGCTGCACTTTAAGCTTCTAAACCTCTATTTCGTTTGTCGGGAAAACGTCAAAGTCCATTTTGTGAAAACTGCAACAAACATTGTCATACTATTGCTACATGTTATCAACTTCACGACTTTCCCGACAAACATGTGAAGAAATTAGGGCCACCACCATCCAACTCCACTCTTATAGCTAATTCGCTCACGCATGAACAATACAACAAGCTTCTAACACTTTTTGCCAAAGAAGAAACTAGTGAACCCTCAGTGCACTTAGCAGGTAAAAATCACATATTTTCATCATTTTGTTGGATTATTGACTCCTGTGCTTCTAATCATATATGTACATCTCTATCATTTTTTTCTTCATATATTCCCCTATTCGTAAAAACATATATGTTCAATTGCCCGATGGCTCTCACGCGTCTGTGACTCACATATGTAGCACCCCCCTTCTAGTCGGGCGATAAATCGAACCGGTTTATCGGAATATTTATTAAACTAGCGGAAGCAAAGGATCTCTTTGTAAATATTGAAACATTGAAATGGGGCGAAAATGCAATTATCAAAAAGTTACTTCTTTGGGTAATGAAAACTTGCACTTTCAAGAATAACTTTTCTTGGGTTACTTTAGCCGAATAAAGATTTCGTTTTTGGAATAAGTCTCGAAAGGAGGTTTTTCGTTCGAGTGCTACAATATCACTATCGGTTTTTGGTTCGAGAATAAATCAGAGTTCGAAAAGGTTATTTTGGTGAATAATTCGAAGTTTTCTAGCGAAGACATGACAATAGCAAATTACGAAACTTAACATATTAAGGTAGGAATTAAGTACGATTCATAACGAAAAACGATTTCAAAAGTACGAAAAGAGAAATGTTACGGTTTTTAGGGTTACACCACCAAAAGAAAATAACCAAAAGTTCTAGCAACGTTCATAGGTCCTCGTACTTCTTCCAAAATCCCGGGCAAGACCTCGATCCACTACTCGATCCATCCCGGCTGAGGATTACTACTACCTGCAATTAAAAGACATCTATATGAGCTATAAAGCTCAGTAAGAAATCCGAGTATTATCAAACTTTGGAAATACGTTATACATAATATATAATATTGTATACCCGTTCTTACCCACGTTTCGCACAACAACACAAGGCAATCGGTCAAATCACATATCTCACGAAAACACATCATTTAATAAGATCACGTAATTATGCAAAATGACTAAAATGCCCTTTTTGTGAAAATCATGAAAAACACATTCTCGTTTTATCGGATCCGTGAAGGATTAATTTCTGTACCGGATAATAAACCTGTTACGAGCCCGTTTTCACTAAGTGGAATCAAACCACTACCACATCATCCTAGTTGGATACCGGCCCACTATATCCGAGTTGTTTATTACCCGATATTCCATTAACCTTTCAAGTAAAATCATTTTTTTTATGCAACTTTTCGAAATTATGCTTATGACCCACACATAACATCACAAATGTCAATCAAGTGTCACAAATCACACAAATACCACAATTTACCACATATTTATGTTTTGAGCAAAAATCCCAATTTCACACACATAAACACACAACCACACACGGCACACACACCATGCACAATCAGCACCCACACATTCACACAATTTCAGCACACACACATGCACAATCAACACATTAACATCACTAACTATTCATCAAAGCAAGCTTAAGAACAAATACCCCTTTTTTTACCTTTCATTTAATGGACTTATTACCACATCTAGGTAATAATCCATCCAAATCAATTTCTCACAACCATTAAACACATCCAACAGTAATTAAAGTACCAAAATACTAAAATTCATCCCTCATCACCATTAAATCAAGAACATAAACATTAAAGCACAAAACATGTTAAATGGTATGCAAATTGTCCTAATTTCGAAATACTAGCAAACTAATTCCAAAAATTCTCAAATTAAATCCTAGAACTCCTACTGACTCAAATTCCAAAATTCTGAAATTATTTTAAAGTTTTACAAAGTTCCGAATTTTCTTGAAATAAAACTAGGAAAATCCCTTTTTCAATTTAAAAGTCCATAACTCTAATATAACTCTAATTAATTTAAAAACTTGTTAAATAAAACTTTTTCCTAATTAATACTTGCTGTAAAACAGATCCAAACTTTAAAAATGAGAGATCTTTCAGAAATTGCAGTTTTGACCCAAAAGTTTCGAAATTTACACATGCAACCACACTAGAAGTTCAAAATCAACTTTTTCATGGAAACCCTTAACAAATCTGAAATTTCACTTTATTAGATGCAGAAAATGAAGTTGAAAAGTCACTTTATGCAGAAATTTCGGAAATTTCATATTTTACCCCAAAATCTCTAGATCTATACATGCAAGCCTACTAAAATTTCCAAATCAACTTTTTCTTACAAAAATTCTTTAAATCCGAAATCTTAGACCAATAAATGCTGGAAAACAGTGTTGAAAACATTTTTCGGACAGACTTTACAAAAATTGCAGATTTGGCCCAAACTTTCAAAGATCTACACATGCAACCACAAAAAGTTAAAAATTTCATTTTCTTGAAAACCCCTTTTTGAAATCTGAAATTTTTAAGGCTTTTGGCCAAATAAATGCTGTATCTAACCACTATCAACATAGATGATGCATGCAAGAACAAGAATTTAACAAGAACACTCATTTTTCCATTTTTCTTCAAAAAGCCCTAATTTTTTCGAAATCTTCCCCAATCTTTTAAAATTTCATGAAAACTTTTTCAATACTATTGATGTCCCTTAATTGCAGCAAGAAATCGAATTTCTTACCTTAAAATCGAAGAAAGAAAATATGACCGAAGGGGAGAGAGAGGCTTTCAAGCACCGAAGTTCAACCAAGCCACCTTGATTGTGAAGGAGATGGTGTGAGCTTCAAGGAGGGAGGAGTTGTGATCTCCCGTAAGGAGGCAAGTGGTTTTGATGGTGTTTTTGGAATAATCTATGGCAAGAGTTAAATAAGGAACCTTCATTTTTATTTTGGGGTTTTCTTTGAAAAATAAGAAATGAGGTGGAGAGAGGGGGGCCGATGATGGTGGTGATGGTTTCGGTGGAAGGAGAAGAGGAAGACAAGTAGGGGGTTTAGGTGTTGGAAGAAGAAAGATGAAGGGTGTCTCTTCATCTCACTAATGAGAGTGTTGAGTGTGAGTTTAGGTAAAATGATTAGGGTGTGCCAAGTGTAAAAACATGCACACTTATTCACTAATTATTTAATTAATATAATGACAACTTGTATAAACACTACATACACACACACACCATCCGAACACACACACATTTTCGGATATACATAATATTCAATCCGTCCGTTGGGAAAACGTCAATGTCCATTTTGCGACCACTGCAACAAACATGGTCATACTCTTGCTACATGCTATCAAATTCATGGCTTTCCCGACAAATATGGGAAGAAAATCAGTGCCACCACAATCCAACTCCACTCTTATGGCTAGTTCCCTCACGCACGAACAATGCAACAAGCTTCTCACACTTCTTGCCAAAGAAGAAACTAGTGGGCCCTCGGTGCACTTAGCAGGTAAAAATCACGCATTTTCATCATTTTGTTGGATTATTGACTCCGGTGCTTCTAATCATATATGTACACCTCTCTCATTTTTTTTCTTCATATTCCCCTATTCGTGAAAACATATATGTTCAATTGCCTGATGGCTCTCACGCGTCTGTGACTCTCATAGGCACTGTCAAATGTTTTGGTACTTTCATTCTCACGAATGTTTTTTACATTCCATCTTTTAAGTTCAATTTGTTGTCCATTTCACAATTTACGAAATCCACAAATTGTGATATAATTTTTTCTTCATCTGGATGAATATTTCAGGACCAATCAACGAAGAAGACGATTGGTCGGGGTAATCCTTACAATGGTCTTTTCTATCTAGATTGCAATTTGGTTTCTAATTCTGCTCTTTCTATTAAACAATGTAATAAATTGGGCAAATTACCAAAACCCCCCTGAGGTAAGTCTGAATAACGGAAATCCCCCCCACGTTCTCGTAATTACGAAAACCCCCCTGAGGTAAGTCTGAATAACGGAAATCCCCCCACGTTCTCGTAATTACGAAACCTTGTACACGAAATTACCCTTAGGGGGGTAATTGTAAGCATTTTATTTAGAGTAAAAAGTAGTTTGCCTCCAATAATTCTCCCCAAAATCGGTCTCGCCGATTAGAATTCCTTCAACCCAGAACATTTATCGGCAGATGAGAGTGGAATTAATGGCGGCGGAGAGCAGTAGTAGTCGGGGGAAAAAAGAGGCGGCGGCAGCATTACCGAATTCCCCTCGTCAAAACAACGACGTCGAAGATCCCGTCAAATCCCCTCCTCATTCGCTCAACAATTCCTCCGGCCGCAATGTTTACTCTTCTAGCACTCAATTTTCATACTGTCTGTTTATTTAATCCAAAATTTTTTGGGGATATTTTCTACTGATTCGTTGTTATTGAAATAGTTGATTGCACGAATTAAAGCTTGGTTATCTCTTGACGGAATTTTGGTAGATTTTCTGTTAAGTACGACGAAATATTGAAATCGTCACAGATTAATCACTACCACCCATGTGTTTTTGGAGACAGTAAAATAAAAATCATTGGATTAAGAGGAAATAAATTAAGGACTGGATGTAAGGAATTCTTCCATTGGATTGGATTTTTTTTTCAGGGAAGGTGGGTGTGGATGACAGCTACTTTTTCCTTTATTTATTTATTTTCTTTTTTTTTTTTCTTTTTTTTTTCTTTTTTTTTAAATAATATTAAAGATGTAAGTGAAGGGAAAAATTCACCCCGCAAAATCTCACGTGCAAAACACATGTTTTAACATTCCGGTTAAAATTACCGGAAAATTGAGTTTGGGGGCACCGTGCAAGGAATTAACGAGTTCAGGTAAAAACGTGCAAATTTTTTTTGTTTGGGGGGTAAAGTGCAAATGGACCCTTAGTTTAGGAGGCAAACTGCTTTTTACTCTTTTATTTAATGAAGGATCATAAATATATACTCTTCATGAAATATATAAGTGTCTGCAAAATACTTATTTTTCTTAAATTAAACCCAAATATAATCAATCATTATGAATGTACAATGTATTTTTATTGGATTAAAAATAATCAATGGGTGAGATTTCAAAAAAAAAAAGAGAGAGAGAGAGTTCACGTGAGAGAGAGAGAGAGAGAGAGAGAGAGAATTGCTAAGAAGAAGGGAGAAAAAAAACTGCTGTTAAGGGTAATTATGTCTTATCCTATCTTAATAAGGGGGTCTCACTAATTAAGATTGGGATATGGGTGTGGGAAAAAGTCTAAAAAGTCAAGTGGGTTTTTTACATAATATTTTCCATTTTAGGGGAGGATTGCATATTTCCCCTTCAATTATTTTAGGGAAATATTAAATTAATGAAAATAATTTTTAGCACGTCGCCTTCGAGTCGGAATTAAAAAAACATATCATTTAAACAAAGTTATTAATTTATCGAGTACTAATTTATCGAGATACTACCGTACATATAGTAAATGACACTATATGTATAGCGGTTTGGAGAACTTTTCCCTACTCGCTTCCCCAGTTCTTTGAATTTTTCATCGTGCCTCCAAGATCATCAAACCCTATACATAAGACAAGATGCCTACATGACACTACTGTTTTTCGCATCAAATGTGCAATTACAAGAGACTCACCCTTCTACGCTCAACAACACGTGCTTCCAAGAATTCTTGATTCTTTCGCACCAGTATATATATATACATACATATATATATATATATATATATATATATATATATATATATATATATATATATATATATATATATATATATATATATATATATATATATATATATATATATAAAAATTCACAAAACCAAGGAGAAACGCTCTTTAAAACAACACCCTTCGTAAATTATACCGAAGAACTCGTGTATCGCTTTTCTTGCTTTAGATCAACATTGATATACACAATTGGGCCAACCCAATGGGCCTACAATTCCTTTACCTACTGGGCCACAAACTCATTGAAGATCACTACCACCGAGCCCCAATCACCTTCAAGTAAGGTTAATTGGGCCTGACAATCTCGACTAAGGTATAAATAAAGGTTTGAACTCATTTCTTAAGGTACGTCCTATTAACTGAGCAATACTACAACATGTATACTCTGGACTATTTCTACTATCCGCACGTCTGACTTGAGCGTCGGAGAGGTTTCCGCTAGATCAACCCCCGGCCTAGTTCACATGTTCTATGATCGCAGATATCTCAAGGTCATCAAGCTCGTGTGACAGTGATCCACTCTGCTCTTCCAGTTCATCCTACTTTAACTCTCCAAGGTGATCTAACTTTAGCATCATCAAGTATATAAGAAGTTCCAACAGTAATCTAGGACTTCTTGCTTCCTTTTGTTTGCTCTCTAATTTTATGCCAACAACAAATTTGAGATTTTTATTTGGGTCCTAAATTCCCAAAATTTATTGAATTTGTAAAATACCAAATTTTGATAACATAAACGATAATCGAGAATTAAAATTTGAATCTTGAATTCCAAACACGCCTCTAGATTTCTTACCCATGCACCCCGAGCAAAAAAGCTAGGGATGTTTTCGTACGTGGTGTTTGCAGAAGCTTTTAAAAAGTGATCTTGAGCTTGTTTTTTGCTCACGATCGATGTTGAACTGTTTGCAATGTCAACTTTTGCTTCTACTTCTTTCATATACTATGCTGCACGGACATTTCTAGGAGGTGAAGAGTCCCCGTATCCGATACTTGGATGCTCGGACACGCCTGGACATGGCTCAGAAACCCGTGTCGGGCCGTGTCATAATTTTGCTAAAAGTAGGACACCCGTGTCGGGCAGTGTACGCAATTTTAAAAAATTGGGACACGGTTCTTATGTTTTAAGAGGAAGACCTAATAAAAAATCCGCATTTTCTTTTCCGTGTAACACATATTTCGTCTGTCTTCTTTGAGAGTCCACCCAAATGCCCAAAACTCTAGCGACAACGGCGACCAAGAACACGATAAGCAAGGGCGAGCGACTCTCTTATGCGATTTGGCGACTTATAAATATATTTTTACAATTTATAAATGTACCCCAATATTTTTAGAATTTATAAATATACCCCTATATTTTTTATATTTACACGTACCACCCGCGTGTCCGTATCCTAGTTTTTTGGAAATGTCGTATCACCGTGTCCGTATCCGCGTATCGCCGTGTCCACGTATATGTGTCCGTGCATCATAGTTCATATATAAATAAGCTGATTTAAGCTAAAATATAAAAAAGGATCACTAAAACAACTTTTCTTAAAATAAATTGTTTAAAATTAATTTTTCATGGGGTTTGCAAACAGTTCAAACTTTTAGAAATAAACAATATATTATCAAAATTGTGTAGTGGAACGATCATGTATACTTCAACTCATTTTTGCTTGTTTGAAAACAACAAAGTCAATACACGGGACGGTTTCAACCCACGTACCATTATACAAACTGTTTTAATACTGCAATAAGGCTTCGTTTGGATTTTATTTGATATTTAGTATTCCCAAACACACGTCGGGTTGACTCGCAAATATTATTTTATCATGGCTTATCTTGTTTTTAGATAAATTTTTTATTGAATATTCCGAGGTCCACTAATACAATTAGATTTCATTAGATTATTTAAGGAAAAATTACAGTTTTCGTCCTTTAAGTTTGCATTGATTTCAAATTTAATTTGGTCCCTTATATTCACAAAAACATATTTGGTCCCTCGTGTTTGAATAATTAACACTTTTGGACATTTCCATCAATTTATCTTTACTTTGTCAGTTAAACCAGTGACGGGCACACACATATGATTCTGTTAGTTACTACTAACGGAAAATTGACGAAATGATTAAAACTGTTAAATTTTGGAAACATCATGGACCAGATGTGTTTTTTATGAACACGAGGGATCAAATGTAAAATTTGTGCAAACTTGATGGACGAAAATTGTATTTTTTCCTATTATTTAATCTTAATCAAACGAGGCCTAAGTCTATACACCCCGTCTATAAAGATAAAACTATAGGCCATTTCTACAAATATAGCTTCTTCTCCACGGATTATATTTATCTTTTGCATCAGCTCAAACAATGACTGACGAATGTTTATGCAGAGCTTTCTGCGTATGCACCATTATCGCCGTTGCGGCTCTATTTCCCCTTTACATAATATTCCAAACCGTCACGATGACACCCTCGGGCCCACACTTTTACATCAACGAATTCTATGTCCCGGCCCTCGATCTCTCCCAACACACGGCTTCAAATAATAATAACAATCAAACCGTAGTAATTAACCCTTGTCTCTTCCTCGATCTCGCCTTTGTGAACATTATGCTCAAGCAAACCGTACACTACGGAGATGTCAACATCACATTATCGCACGGTCGGAAGGCCGTAGCGAGTTACGTGGTCCACACCTTCGTCCAGGAGCATCGTGGCGTGGAGTACAGGCGGGAGGTGGTGGAGAGTCGGGGAGTGCCGTGGGAGAGCACCAAGAAGGCGGTTTCCAATGGGTCAACTGTGGTTTTCAGGGTTGACTTGGCGACGCTTGTCAAGTTCCATTCGTTGAATACGAAGAAGAAGGATGTGAGGATTGGGGCTGACGTGGAGGTTGATGGAACCGGTCTGAAGTTGAAGAGAGAGGATATTCGGCTCGACTCTGCTGCTTCGCGGCGTGGGGTGGGGATTTTTGTTCTGTTTCTCAGCCTTTTAGTTACGCGGCCATGTTTCTGATCCGGAAAAATACAATTTTCATCCCTCAAGTTTTACGGTGATTACACATTTGGTCAACCATGTACACAAAAAAACATATTGGAAAAAATAAAGTTTTCTTTCCTCAAATTTACACCGATTTCACATTGGTCCCCCATGTTCATAAAATACACATTTTTGTCCCTCATGTTTCAAAAGTTCAACACTTTTAGTCATTTCTGTCAATTTTCCATTAAAACTAACGGAATCAAACGTGGGCCCATCACTACCATAACTGACGGACTTACAGTAAATTAACGAAAATGACCAAAAATGTCAAATTATTGAAATATGAGGGACCAAATGTGTTTTTTGTGAACATGGGGACCTAATGTGTGAAATCTTTACAAACTTGAGGGGTAAAAACTGTAAATTTCGCAAAAGTATTTGGTCCCTCGTGTTTAAAAAATTCAACACATTTAGTAATTTTCGCCAATTTTCTGTTAGTACTAATGGAATCATGAAGCGGGTGCCGATCACCGCCTTATAATTAACTGATGGACAAACTGTAAATGAAATGAGAAAAACCAAATGTGTTAAATTATTGACACATGACGACGGAACAGATCTGTTTTTTTTTTTTTGTTTCTGATCTTTTGAAAACTTTATTTATTTGTTTGTTTTGGATATACGTGAAAATTTAAATTGGATCAACTTAAACATTGGGAGCTGATTGTACGTTTATGGTGTGTCGTTGTTATATGGCTTTTGTATACAAATTATATAATACTTGATTTCAATTTTTTAAGTTCGTTTTTATATTGAGATACAAAATCTCCCTAAGAGTAGCAAATTAAAGGGAAAACGTTTAAATATTTATATATGGAACTTTTTATAATGATCAATATAGTAAATAAGATGCAGAAAATTAAATCCATTTCGCTTTTCTTGCTTGAGTGAAGACTCCGTTGTTTTTAGGTTTAGATCAATCCCTCTTCCATCATAGAAAGTATATATGAAGATCCAAGAGTTGGCGATTTTGTTGATGCAACATCCGGTGAAATATACAGCAGGGTGATCCTGCATTATTGATCTACACATAGATCATCTAGGGCTCTTTCAATTACGTTACAACAATGAACTTGGACTTCTTTGCTTCCGTTTCTTTGCTCTCTTTCATGCCAACAAAAAAATTCAGATTTTAACGAGTCCGGTCCTGAATTCCAAAAAATTATCGAATTTGTGGAATACCAGATTTTGATAATATAAACGGGAATCAAGAATTAACATAATTTCAATCTCGAATTCCAAACTCACCTCTAGATTTATTTCCTATACCACTAGCAAAAAACGAGTATATTTGTGTAGGGTTAATTTCACTTTGACTCCTTCCTAGATAGTGAATTTACAGACTCACCCCCTCCTAGTAAAAAGTTTCCCCATACCTCCCCTGTTAAATGCCTCTGCTTACTCTGTTGGTCCCTCCGTCAAAAAAATTGGATGGAAAGTGATGACATCATCATAAAAAATTAAGTGAATTTTCTATTTTACCCATTTAACTGAAGTTAACTATTCTGAGTTTTTTGACGGACTGAAAATGCCCATATAGTTTTTTACTATTCTAATTTAAGTAATGAAATTTCTCTATTTTCCGCTTGTTTTTAATTAAAAAAATTGGTAAAATGAGGGCAAAATTGACTTTTTGCACGCGCTCAGTTAGTAATTTTAAGCGGAGACATCTAACAAGGGAGGTGTGGGCATATTTTTTACTAGGAGGTGGTCCAATATATATATATATATATATATATATATATATATATATATATATATATATATATATATATATATATATATATATATATATATATATATATATATATAATGTTGATATATATAATTATGCGTACCGTATAACATTCAAATAATAATTACTAAACACCTACAAATACTATAAAAATGTCAACCCTAACTCTCTCGTATAAAAAAAAAATTGAAATTCCTAAATATTGAATTGGGGGATGTATCGATCAGACGATCACATATTTTTCAACTCATTTCCTATAAAATAAAAAAGAAATAAATAAAAAAGACAAAGCCAAAGTCAACAGACCGCGGGAAGATTTCAGCACATGTACCATTATCCTTTGTTCTAACAAAATAGAAAGTTTGTATCTCGCATTTGCAAAGATAAAACTATAGTCTATAATATATAGCTTCTTCTCCACATACTCATCCTTATATAATTAATAGATCACCAACAATGAATGTATACATTGTTGTCGTCTTATACATCCTCGTTACCGTTGCAGTCGTAATTTCCATTTACGCGGCCCTAACCCTAGGGGTCAACCTCCACCAAGGCCCGCGTTTCTACATCAAAGAATTTTACGTTCCCGCCCTCGATCTCATCTCCCAATCACCCATAACTACTTCAAACAATAATAATAATAATAATAATACCGTACCTATTAACCCATGTCTATTCTTCGATTTCGCCTTTGTAAACATCGAAAACGAGCACATCGTACGCTACGGAGATGTAAATCTTACATTCTCATACGGCCGAACCAACGCCGTTGCGAATTACGTAGTTCGGAGCTTTGACCAGGGGTCGTGGGAGGTGGCCTACCGGCTGGAAGTGGTGGAGAGCCGAGGAGTGCCGTGGGAGGATGCCGTGAAGGCGGTTTCGAATGGGTCAACGGTGGTTTTTAGGGGTGACTTGGCAGCGAGGCCG